CAATTAGTGCACAATACTACTATATTTGGTGTTCTGTTATCGCCATTTTTAAAGGGCGGCAGTCTTGGTGTCGCGTCCTGTTCAATATGGGACTCATAGCGACGTATACAACGCGTGTAAAATACATTGTTTATTTACATGAAATTCGAACACGCGCTGCGCGACGACCACCGCGCTTTAACAGCACTGTATCATCCTACCAAAAAGTAACTGAACAAAATTACTCAAAATCATAATTACCACTATTACATTCAAGAAACATGTTTTCTAAAATGTCAGTTCCCGCTTGCGAGCTAGTAAAGTGAGAGCATCGAAATATGACAGTTATAAAATATCTGAATATCAATGTCACAGATGTAACCATTTTTATAACTTCGATTACAGAATAGTAATATCTTTTACTAGTAACATGGTTATTGAGTATATAATCAGATATGATTAATATAACATTACTAACGCAAACAAAGATAAAGGTAAAACAAACTCGGACAGATTGAAATTTGATACTGTCAAACACAGCATAATGCGTGAACAAAGCATGCAAATCAGATCAAGGTGCGAGAGATATGAGTTTACCATTCATTTCTGCTCTGCCACGACAGCTGTGTGATCCCTGCAATCTATACAAACAGGTTGCTAGGACAACATCCTTGAGCTAATAAACAATAAATATAAATGTGTGATTTCCAGAAACAAAATATCAGACATAATCAATCACATGCCACAAGGCAATGTCTAAAATTGTCAGAGCGTGTTCATAGAATACAGATTCGCTGTATCCATCTAATATATGAACGTGGGTGTTTCAACAACCCATCTGACAAAGTGGGGTAGCTAAAGTGTCATGTTTTTTCTCTGCATGGAACATTTGAGATCGAGTTATCCTAATATTCTACATGTGGACACACGGGTTAAAGCAAATAAAAAAATGCATTTTACGTTTTTACAGAAAATAAACTGAAAGTTCAATTTACAGTAAAATAGGTTTTTACACTTTACAGATAAAACAAATTCATGATTTACATTTTACAGTTTTGTAATATATTTGATAATTTGTGTTTGAGAATCAAGAATCAAATAATATCACACATTGAATAATTTTCTGTTCAACCCGTTCAACTGCTCCTGTTGAATTACTGTTGTCCACCGTGATTATTCTTAGCAGACGCAATGCACGTGCATTGTACCTACACGCATTTCAGATTTCTTGCATGCATTTCAGTGCGACAATTCTTCCGCTGCCACGAATCTTCGGTGTGACGCACAGGTACGAAGCAAGCACAGTCAGC